CCATATCTCACAGCAAGAAGTAAATAATTTTCTTAGTTAGTGGTTTAAAACCACGACATTTTTTGGTGGAGAATGCGGGCAAACAAAATTAGCAGATCTGGACCACTACATTAATAGTGTTTCTGTGAGATAAAAGATTAATTAAGAGCAAAGCATGATTGTCTTAAGTTTATATATAACAGTGATAATGAAAGTCTAGGGGTAGAAAGTAGTGAATGTTCTGTTTCTTCTTTTCTGTCAATTTATTGTGTTAAGTTGTATGCCTGTTTTGCTCTTATTCTAATCCATATCTCACAGCAAGAAGTAAGTAATTTTCTTAGTTATTGGATTAAAACCATGACATAGGACTTTTGTGGGCACATGGAGGGTGGCAGAAATGCTGACAAGGATGAGAAAAATCTTTTTAACGACTCATCTGGAGTATTTCTGAAGAGGAACCCAGAGATGTCTTCTGGGCTGTGTTTTAAGTCACTTCCTGGGCAGCTGAGGCTCCCCAGGGCAGACAGTGGCCCAGGGGAGCAGCAGCCAAGTGCTCTGAGGGCGCGTGAGCCCATCCGTCTTTGCCTCTTGCCACACAGATGTTGCAGGCAAGTGTGAAACCCTCTGCTCTTTGCTTCTGTGCAGGTGCTGCAGGAAGAGCAGAATGAGAAGAGGGCTTTAACAGAGACACTGCTCCAAACTCGGGGACAGCTCAGCCAAGCGTGCCAGCAGGTCCAGCAGCTCAGGCAGGAGGTGAAAGAGCAGCAAGAGAAGGGACAGGTAAGTCTGAGTAGGCAGGGAATGGAGTGCAGGGCAGGGACAAGGGCACAAAAGGCAGCTCCTGGGAGTGAGGAGGCAAGGGCTGCCTCAGGCTGTGGGAGCACAGAGCCTGGTAAGCTCCAGAGCTCAGGCCCAGGAAGGAGGGCTTGCAGTGCAAGCAGAGCTGGGTTGAGAAGCCACAAGAAGTGGCTGAAGGAATGGGATTTGGAGACAGCAAGTGCAAAAATCTGAGCCTGAGGGCAGGTCCCAGGAAGTCACTCTGCATTTTGTTGCCAGACCATCAAGGCAAAGCTGCAAGCTGAGCTGCAGGAAGCTCACAATGAAATGCTGGCAGTGCAGAGGAGGCACAAGGAAGAACTTCAGGGCATCAGAGAGAGGAGATGAATGTCCTCCTTGAGCAGAGGGATGCTCTGCAAAAGCAGGTGAGTGAAACAGCAGTGGCACTGCAGTCACCCAGGGAGGACTCTGTGGCCTTCTTGCTTTTCCATGGCAGAGCAGCAGCTGATGGGGTGATCCCTGGGGCTGCCTCATGCTCTGGGGGCTCCATGGCAGCTGCTCTGAAGGACACTCAGTGCTCTGCTGAATCTCAGCTGCTGCCCCCTGGACAGCTGGGCCAGTCCTCTGGGCTGTTGGCCAGCAACCATCAGCATGGACTCCTGCTGGCCTCTTCTTGCTAGCCTTGGTTTGGGAGGTGCTTTTTCAGGTGGGCCACTTAGAGACTTAACCAAGTTGTCCATATCCATTGGGAATCTGGTGCTTTCAGGACAGGGAGAAATGGGAAGTTGTCCTTTCCCTTTCCTCATGGCCTCTGCTGTGGCTGACAGAGGCAGGCTGTGGCTGTCGCCTCTGACTGCTTTGTTCTGTTTGACTGGAGGTGGAAGAGTTGACATCTCAGCTGGCAGCCTCCCGAGAGTTCCTGGAAAGCAGAGTCCAGAGAGCCCAGCAAGATGTGAGCGAGGCCCAGGCACAGTCAAGGCAGAAGCAATTGGAGGCTGAACACATCCAGAAGAGGCTGGAGGAGGCAGAACATCAGAAGAATGAGCTGCAAGTGTACCTGCAGAATGTGGAGCAAGAATGGAGTCAATGGGAAGAAGTGTCACGCCAGAATTCAGAATTGCATGCTTTTGTGCGTGCCCTAAAGAGGGAAAGAACCAGGTAAATGAAAGCCTGTGGGACTCTGCATTGTGGTGAATGCATTCCCTCTTTGCCATCTTTGCACCTACCTGGGGCTCTGGCAGCATTTCCTGAGTGGCAGATTCCAAACTCTCTATGAAGACACATCTCATTTTCTGTCTGTTGTGGATATTTTCTTTTCTTTTAAGCCTTCAGTTGGAGTTTTTCTGAAGACAAAGGCTTTTGGGGTAGCTCTTTCCCTCAAGGGAGTGTTGTGCTGTTAGGTTAGGTTAGGTTAGGTTAGGTTAGGTTAGGTTAGGTTAGGTTAGGTGGGTGTGTTAACAGTGCTGGAGCTGCAGTGTAAGGAGCTGCATACATCCATCAGCTCCACCTTGGCTGCTGTAACTTGAGGCCTTTGGGATCTGATCAGCCTGGCATCTGATGTGTGTTGTTGACGTAAGATGTGTTAAACTCATGATTTTTTATTTAAACCAGAAGAACAGAATCACAGAATGCATAAGGCTGGAGAGAGACTACAGTGGCTCATCTGGTCCCACCTCCCAGTTCCAGCAGGGCCATCCCAGGGCGCAGGAGTGCGTCCAGACGGTTCTGGAATATCTCCACTGAGGGAGATTCCACAGCCTCTCTGGACAATCTGTTCAGGCCTTGGGCTCTGCACAGCAAAGAATTTCTTCCTCCTGTTTCCAGGTGGAACTTCCTGGGCATCAGGTCCTGCCCGTTGCTCTGGTGCCATTGCTGGGCCCCAGGGAGCAGAACCTGGGCCCTGCTCGGAGCCCTCCCTGCAGAAAGGGACACCCAGGGCTGAGGGCCCCTCTCAGCTGGGGCTCCAGGCTGAACAGCCCCAGCTCCCTCAGCCTTTCCTCATCAGCAAGGTGCTCCAGGCCCTTTCTTATCTCTGCAGCCTCTGCTGGGCCCTGCTCCCTGGCCCCCTGTCCAGAGGAGCTCAGAACTGGACACAGCACTCCAGATGTGCCTCACAGGGCTGGGCAGAGGGGCTGGATCCTCTCCCTGACCTGCTGGCAGTGCTTTTCCCGGTGCTTTCCTGGATCCCAGGGGACACAAGGACACACTGCTGGCTCATGGAGAGTTTCCTGTCCACCAGGATCTCCCAGGTCCTCACAAAGCTGCTTCCCAGCAGGTTGGCCCCAGCCTGTGCAGTGCTTGGGGCTGTTCCTCCCCAGGTGCAGGACCCTGCACTGGCCCTTGCTGAATTTCAGAAGGTTCCTCTGTCCATCTCTCCAGCCTGCTGAGATCCCTCTGAGGATGTGACCCCAATGGGGAGGCATTGACCGCCTCATCCAAGTCATTGGTGAACAAGTTCAACAATAGTGGGCCCAGGAGTGAGCCCTGGGGGACACCACTAATGACAGGCCTCAAACAAGACCCTCTGTCACTGATTACAACCCTCTGGCTTCTGCTGTTCAGCCAGTTCTCAGTCCAGCCCATTGTCCACTCCTCCAAGCCTCACTGCCTGAGTTTCCTCAGGAGGATGTTGTGAGAGACAGTGTCAAAAGTCTTGCTGAAATCAAGGTAAACAATATCCACTGCTCTCCCTTTGTCCACCCAAGTAGTTGTTTCATTATAGAAGGCAGTCAGTTTGATCAGGCATGATTTCTTTTTATTGAATCCATGCTGACCATTCTTGATCACCTTCTTGTCCTTCCATGTGGGTAGAGGGGGCCTCCAGCATGAGGTGCTCCATCACCTTTCCAGAGATTGAGATGACCCTGACCGACCTGTGTCTTTCCCTGTGTCTTTCTCCATGCCCTTTCTGAAGACCAGAATGATGTTTGCTTTCTTCCAGCCCCCAGGCACCTCTCCTGATCTCCATGACCTTTCAAAGATAATGGAGAGTGGCCTCACTCTGGTGTCCACAAGCTCCCTCAGCACTTGTGGACACATCCTGTCAGGGCCTGTGGACTTGGGAATGTCACGTTTGGCCAGGGATTCACTAACCCAGTCCTCTTTGAAAGTCTTGCCAAGAGATAGTCTTCCTTTCAGCATTCCTTTAGCATGGTCTCCTGCCAGAGATCCTTGAGGGCTGGTCTTGTGCAGTACAGACCAACACAAAGAAAGGCACCTAGGAGCTCTGCCTTCTCTGCATCCTCTGTTACCAGCGTCTCCCCTGTAATTGGGTAATTTAGGAACAGACAAGACACACATCAATCATCCTTGGTTTTCCATTTGTTATTGATGTATTTAAAAAAGCCCTTGTTGACCTTGACATCTTTGCCCACATTTAATTTCAAGGTGATCCTTGGCCTTCTTTGTCTTATTTCTACTTACTCCAACAATCTCTCTATATTCATTCCAAGTGGCCTGAGCCTGCTTCTATCTCCTGTGTACTTCCTGCTTGCACTTGAGGAATGACAGGAATGAGGAATTGTTTATTCACTCAGGTATCTTGCCCTCTTTGCCCAATTTCTTGCTCACTAGGGTGCATTGTTGTTGAGCCTGGAGGACGTGATCCTTGAATATCACCTTGGATCCTTTTACCCTACAGGGCCTGTTCCCATGTGCTTCTTTCAAGAAGTTCCCTGGAGAGGCTAAAGTTAGCTCTCATGAGGTCTGTGGTTTTAATCTTGCTTGCTGCCCTGCTTTTTAAAACCTCACCTCCAACTGAACTCCACGATCTCATTCATAGGCAGTGCAGCCAAGGCTAACCCCAAGCTTCACATCTCCAACAAGGCCTTCTCTGATTGTTAGGATAAGGTTGAGCAGCATGCTGTTCTGTGTGGGATCTTCCACTGCCTGTGACAGCAGGTTTTCATCAATGCTTTCCAGGAACATCCTGCACTGTGTTGGTTCTCTAGCTGGTGGCAGGGAAGCTAAAGTCCCCTGCAAGAACCAGGATCTGTGACTTAGAGGTTGCTTTATGTTGCCTGTAGAAAGCCTCATCTACTTCTTCTCGTCCTGTTCAGGTGTCCTCTAGCAAACACCCACAGGAATGTCATCCTTACTTGTCTGTCCTTTTATTCTGACCCATAAGATCTGGACTCGCTCATCATCTACCCCAGACAAAGCTTGACACATTCCAAGTGTTGCCTCACACAGTGGTCAACTCCACCACTCCTCTGAGGCACCCAAGGGATACAAATGTCTCTCATGGCCATCTGTTTCCTTGTTCCACAGGCTGACTCTGTCTCTGGAAGAAAAGGACCTGAGCCTCAGAACCCTGGAAGAAAACAACCTGGCCCAGATCAATCAGGTGTCTCAGCTTCGTTCTGCCCTTAACCAGGCTGAGGAGCTCCACTCAGAGCATAAAAGAGAACTGCAGGAGCTCAACACCCAGGTAAGCTGTACACTCCATCCTCTTCTCCAGGGACACACAACACCACCTTTGGCATGCTAGTCCCAACCTCTTTCCCCTCCCAGCAGCATCCACTGCCGCCGTGTTCTGCCCAGGCCTGCTGCTGCTGCTGCACCCTCAGGCCAAGGCTGGATCTGGTGTCTCCTGCCAAAGTTTTCTCCCATTCTCTCCTGGGTCCCAGCAGGAAATCTGGGAGCAGAAGCAGCAGCACACTCCTCTGGAGCTTCTCTGTCCCTCTGTTAGCAGTGCTGTCCCTGACTGGATTGGTGCCTGTGCCAGGCACTGAGCAATGTGGGGACACAGACGTGGCTATGGCAGGCTGGGCAGGGCACTTCCACCACAGCCAGTTCAGCCCGTGTTCAGAGCTGCAGCCTCAAGGGTGCCCCTTGCCTCCCTTTCCCTGTTTTCTCTACCTTTGTCTCTACTGGATTCCTGGTTCTGCACCTTCTGTTTCTGGTGTATTTCTACCTGAAGTCATTTCTCCTTCAATGCTCTCCCTACTGCCCGCTCTGCTGCCTCAGGAGCAGCCCAGTCCCTGAGGCTCTCTGCATCCATCTTCCAGATCCAGGCCCTGCAGGATGCAGTGACAGAGAAGGCAGCTCAGCAGGACACTCGAGAGAAGGAGCTGCTGCAGGAGCTGGAAAAGTCCCAAGCAGGAGAACAGAGCTTGAGGGACGCTGTGCATGTGCTGCAGGTTGAGATGTCTGAGCTGCGTCTGAGGCTCCAGAGCTCTGAGGAAAAAGCAGAGGCCATGGCCACACAGTGTCAACAGGCCAGTGGTGCCCACCAGGAAACTCAATCCCAGCTGGACAAACTGCTCTTGGTTCTCTACCACATGATCAGGGACAGCAGAGACTTGATCACTTGGAGCTCAGGCAAGTGTGGGAAGCTGGGGGAGCAGGTGGAGCGAGGGGGTGGGTCCTTGTCATCCTGGTATGACACACTCACCCTGACAATTTAGGCTGACTTAGGCCTTGGGAAGTCTTGACAGCTTGACTTCCCTGCAGAGATACAAGTCCATGTTTATATGTAGAGAAATGATCAGAGTCAGAAGGGAGAAGGACCCAAGTCTTGTCAAACCACTGGGGCCTGTGCAGTTGTCTTTGGGAAGTGCTAACATTAGTGGTCATCAGAATACTGTCAACCTGTGACATACATTCTGCTGCAAGGTGAGCTCTAGGACAATGACAAAGGCACCTCCTCCTAGGTAGAGAGGCCTTGTTGGAGACCCTTGGATTAAATTTTGAAACAGAATGTCTTCTCTTTTCAGAAGGGGGTCATGTCATGGGCCTAACTGATTATCAGGCCGGGGATGTCCCTGCAGACCTCACGGTGGACAGAGTGACAGCAGCTCTGCAAGACCTGCAGCAGCACCTGGAGCATTCCCAGAAAGATCTGGTAATGTGTGCCCAGTGCACCCAGAAATCCTGTCTTGCTGCTGGACAAGCACAGTGCCAAGGCCGGGATGGGTGTCAGTCCTTGTAGACAGGTTGGCTCACTGGCATGGGGAGGAAGGAGGATCACAATCACATCTACCAGTGCAGTCCAGCTGCCCTCTCCCACCTGGGCTACTTCTGCTTTAGTGTTTGTACCCCTTTGTCTCCTACCAGCAGTGGGACTGACAAGTGATTCTACTCCTCTAACCTCTTCCAGAATGATGCAAGGAAGAAGATACAGGCCTTGGAGCTGGAGCTGGGTACAGGGCAGGCTCAGATGGACAATCTCAGAGCCAGCAGTCAGAAGCTGCAGAAGGAGTTGGATGAAAGTCAGGCAGGTACAGCTTCTCCTTCCACCCACTGCCCCACCCTGTCTTGTCAGTGGGAATCTGATTCCATGAAGAGGAAAACTGCCCAGATATGACAGTGGGCAAAAAAACAACCAGCATGAGATTTATCCGTCCAAGTGCCAGTGAAAGCTTTTTCTGAAGAATGATGCCATGGGTGGCAGTGCCATCTGGCTCTGCTGTGGCTGATCCCATACACAGCTGGTGCCTTTCAGGTGCTGTGTCTGTGCTAAGCAGCTGAAGCTGGATGCCTCAGCTCAATTCCCCCAAGCTCCAGGCCCTGTCAAAGCCTCCAGGCTATTGGCCTCTCTGGAGCAGGGCTGCACAGGCATCCCAGCTGCTTTGTCTCTCTTGGATTGTTCACTCTGCACAAGGCCAAGAGCAAACACACTTTGCTATTCCTCTGAACCTTGCCCCTGCCATTCCTGCTTTTTTCTCTGCCTGGAAATTTCCTTCATTTCTCTCAGTTTTGGAAGCTCTAGTGGGCTTAAGGCCTGGCAAACCACAGCAGGCAGAGAAGACAGTGCTGTTGTCTCTGCAGGGTGTCCATCAGTTTACTTTGCTTTGCTTTCTCCCTTCTCTTTCCCCTTCCCTCCTGCAGCATTATGGAGGGCAGAACAGCAGAAGACCTCTCTAGAAACTGCCTTGAGGGAAGAGGCTGTGACTGTTCGTCAGGAGGTGGCATCACTGCAGAGGAAACTGGAGAGCCAGGAGAAGGAAAGGAAGGATCTTCTGGTGAGAATGGCAGATGCCACAAAGGGCCATTTCCTAGCTAAGTTTGCACCTTGTGTTACCAGTTCTAAGGAGCACCTTTTTCCAGTTTAACTTTCCTAATTGCATTCTTCTGAACAAGGAGGAAATGATGTTGTAGCCATGTCAAAGCCAGTTAGCACTGAGGCTGCTGATTTTCCTCCATGCTGGAGTTCTGTGCCCTGGAAGCTTTAGTTCTCCATGTCCACACTGTCTCCATTGACATTGCATGGTTTGGGCAATTTCTGGTGTCCAAATCCATGTTCAGATTTCTAAATATCTGGAGCTGGCAGGAGGGATGAGAAGACCTAGGTTGCTGTTAATTGAAAGGTGTTTGGCCTTGGCCATGTGAGAGCAGGCAGTGGGGAGAGAAGAGAGGAAAGCCAGGTGCTGATGCAGATCAGGACGTGTGCCTGCAAGGGGAGAACTCGTCCTGAGTGGCAGCAGGGAATGACTGATCTGGCCATTGGTGCTGCAAGAGAGGGCAGTGGGGCTCTCGGGGACGCTGCCATGGAAACTCTACACAGGAGTGTTGGAAAAGCACTCCTGTTGCCCCAAGGCCTTGGAATGAAATGCTGAGGGTGTTTGCTCTTCCTTCCTGATGGAGAGCACATCCTCATGGCACTGCCTAAATCCTGCTTAGCATTGACTTGAAATCCTGGCTGCAGTTCTGGCAGCTCGTGCCCAAAGGAACACGGGAGTGGAGCTGCCAGAGGTCGGGGACGGGCAGAAAGGAAGCTGGGATGGGCTGAGCGAGCTGGGAAAGAGGCAGCGTCAAGGGGGGCCCAGCCAAGGTCTGCAGCAGCCCGAGAGGCAGAGAGAGAGGGGGGCAGCACGTGCCTGCCCCTGCAGCAGGAGTCCAGGTATGAAAAGTAATCCAAGAGAGGAAATGAGTGACCCTTTTTCTCCCTGTTTTGCAGCATGAATGGGACAGGCTGCAGGCAGATAAAGAGAAACTAGAGTATGAGATAAAACTTCTGGAGGAATCAGTCACAGCCTCTGAAACCCGAGCGAATACAGCTGTAGACAAGAATCACTCCCTTGAACAAGAACTCCAAACCGCGCTCTCCATGTTAAAAATTAAAAATGAGGAAGTGCAAAACCAGGGGAAGAAAATGGAGATTCTTCAGAAAGAGGCAGCAGAGACCAAAGCTTTGCAGGAGCATCTCACTCGTGTGACTGCTATCCTGTCAGAGAGGGAGGGAGAAATGAAGTTGTACCAAGAGCAGATGAGAATGTTGGAAAAGCAGAAAGAAATGCATAAAACTGCTCTTAATCAGGTTATCAAGGACATAACAGAGAAAGAACAGAAGACAGAATCCCAACAGGAACAGATACAGGAGCTGGAGAAGCAGCAAGAAAAGCAAAGGATTGTTTTAAGTAAAATGAGCCAAGAGCTGGAAGAGAAGGACCAGGAGATCAGATCCCAGCAAGAACTGATAAAGGAGCTGGAGAAGCAGTTAGAATTGCAGAACTCTGCTGTCAGCAGGGTGAGCAAAGAACTGGAAGAGAGACACCAGGAGATCAAATTCCAGGAGGAGAAAATAATGATTCTAGAACAGCATGGTGCTATACAAGTCAGAAATCTGCTTGTGGATCTTGATGATATGAAAGGAAACCTGAAGGAGAAAAGGTTGGAGCTTCTTTCTCTGACTCAGCAGATTCAAGAACTGGAAAAGGAGAGGGAAGATGTGAAATCTCTATATGCTAGCCTTGAACACCTGAGGACTGTTCTTAAGGATAGAGAGAGTGAGTGTGACACTCAAAGGGAAGAGTTAAGGCTCTTGCAGCAGCACAAGGAACAGCAAGACGGGCATCTGCAAGAGCTTCTTGGTAAAGTAGAAATCATGACACTTTCTTTATCTAAAAAAGATGAAGAGCTTGAGTCACAACAAAAGAAAATGAAGGAAGTTGAAGAAGTCATGCAAACGCAGTTAAAGACTGTCCGTGACCAGCTGGAGCAGACCTTAGCAACCTTAGAAGAAAAAGACAGACTTATGGACATCCAAAAGCAACAAACAAGGAGCTATGAGGAAAAGACAGAAGAACAGATGAATGTCTTGCACAGAGACTTAGAGTACTCTAGGACAATACTGAAAGAAAAGGATTTAACAATTGAATCTCAGAAGGAACTGATTGACACCTTCCAAAAACAAAAGCAAGACTCTGAACAGCAGAAGCAAATTCTACAGTGTCTTCAAGTGGAACTAAAGGAAAAAGTGCAGGAAATTTTGTCCCTTAGAAAGCAATGTGAGGGATGCAAAGAAAAGGAGGAAAAGTGTGAAGCTGAGCAAAGAAATTTCCACACAATAACACTGACTCTGAAAGAAAAAGAGGAAAAGATTTGTGTTCTGGAGGATGCCATCACAAAGCTTCAAGAGCAGAAGGAAGAGACAGCAGTACAAACTAAAGCCATACTGCAAAAACTAGAATATGCTGAATCTTCTATTGAAGCTAAAGATCAAGAGTTAGTGTCTTTGCAAGAGCATGTCCAGGACCTTCGAGAGCAGAAGGAGGTGGCAGGCAAGCAGGCCAAAAGTCTAGAGCAGGATCTAGACAAAGCGAACCAGATGTTGCAGAAGAACCATTTGGAGTTCCTCAGGCAGACAGAGCAAATTAACACATTCCATCATCGTGAAGAAAGCATGAAAGTAGCACTAACATCATGCCAGAAGCAAGTGACTTTGCTTGAGGAAGTGGTGAGGAAGAAAGATGAAGACAATGATGTTCTTAGGCAAAAACTCCAGCACGTAGAAGAAGAACTGAAGACTTTGCAGAATCTCCAGCTTAGGCTAGCTGAGAAGAATGAAGAGGTTAGACATGATGGAGAGCAAGAGTTCCTGAAAGAAGCCTTCCCTGAGAGAGAAGGAGAGATCATGACTCAAAGTGAGCGAAAGCAGTCAGAAGAGGAAATAAGAGCTCTTCAGGAAGATCTCCAGCATGTTCAGCAGAATCTGACAAAGAAGGATAAAGAGATCAAGTACCAGACAGACAGAGTCAAGTATTTAAAGAAGACTCTGATAGAACGAGAACAAGAGCTTAGGAGGCAGAGTGAAGTCCTGAAAGAATTAACACTGGCTTTGCAATGGAAAGATGAAGGAGAAACCCTAACAAAACAAATCCAAAAACTCCAAAAATGGGAGGAAGAGGAAGAACAGAAAAGGAAAATTCTCCAGGAGAGAGACCATCTCTTGCAAAGGCAGAAGGAAATTACCCAACAATTGGAAGCTGAGAGAGAAGCCAATAGCGAAGAGTTGGAGTTTGTGGCTGCTGCTTTGAAGCAGAGAGAAAGCAGAGAACATGAATGGAGAGAGAATGCGCAAGTCCTAAGTGCTGCACTGAGCAAGAGTGAAATGGCCAATGGGAATCTGAAGAAAGAAATAACCATCCTGCAGAGAATGGTTGCAGAGAGGGACACAGACCGATTTCATCTCCAGGTAGGCAGAGGCACTGACCTTCAGTCCACTCCAATGTCCCTGAAGGATTCCAGTGATATTTCCCATAAAGAAGTGGGACTCTATATCCCTGTGAGTCCAGGCCTGCTTGGCCAAAGCAGCCCAAGCTGCGGCAGGCAGCCTTGTCTGTCTGCCTGGCCCCAGCCAGAGACCATTGACTGGCAGATTGTTTCCTGGCATGCCCAGAATGACTGCTACAGCTCTGGAGTTTGCTGTTCAAATCAGCTGCAGGCCAAATGCTGGGCATGGGGAGCTGCTTCTCCTGTGCCCACACAAGATCATGGCAACACGTGGGGATTTGGATTTGGTGTGGGAAGGAATGGAGCAGGTGAGCAGGGCGATGGACTAAACCCAGCAGAGTTTTGTACCAAGAGATCTGAGCAGCAGCAGCTGCACTGCTGGTGCCTCGAGGATGCTTGCCAAGATGGAGATTTCTGAGGGACAGCTTTTCCAGTGTATTAAAAGATTGGGATTTCTATTGCCTGGTCAGTTTAAATGTTTAATTATGCATTCAGGACATGTTTGTACTGCCATCCAAAAGTCATGGAGGCAAACTTGTGTGTATTTCTCCAAAGTGAACTGATTCAGGTTGTGCTAGTGGAACAGCTGCAATAGCCTGTGCTACAGCTTTGCCAAGAATTTGCCTATATTCTAGTGTCCATTAGTATAGTGGCATGTAAAAAGTGCTACTAAGAAAACACTGTATTTATGTATTATACGCTTACTTATGACTTAAGAAATACTATTTGCAGCCTGACCCAGGATGCTGACAAGTATTGTGATCTATTGATTGGAAGTAAAGATGTGAAAAGGGCAAGAAATGGGAAAAAAGCCTGAGATTGCACTTATATCCATGTAGGTCAGGTATGCAAGAACATTCAGTCAGGTAATGCAGTTGCATCCACACAGATTGGTTTAGTGCTGATACAAGACTACATTTATAGGTGCTCCAAGGAGTAAGTTCATGAAGAAAGGCACAGAGGAGGAGGTGGCTCCTGACTAAGTTCAGAGAAGTGCATATGATCTGAATGATAATGTGATATTTTCTAAAGGGCAGTTCTGTATGAGGATGTGACAGGTAAAAAGAGAATAGAAAACAAAATTGGTAGTGTTTTATCACTGCAGAAATATCTGCTTCATCCACATCTTGCATGTTTGGTTGTCTAAGGACAGATAGAACTGTAGGTACAAGAATTTACAGTGATGATCAAAGAGGATGACCAAAAATGATAAATAATTTCCCTAAGAGGAAGATGTAAATGTTGAAGTATTCACTGAAGGAAATGGCTGAGAGAAGTGGAGACACTACAGAGCTTTGTAAATCCATGAAGTGTCTGGATAGGAAATTAATGCTTCCAGTCTCTCAAAACCAGAATGGGGAACATTGAACAAAACTAGCATAAAGCAGATCCAGAACATATTCCTCAATTCTCCATGGGGATTTGGAGGAGGGCCCCTAGAAAGAGGGTGTGGTGTTTTGGCCTGTGGACAAGGAGGAGAAGGACGACCTTTGCATCATCCATTCCTGCTGTAGTTACTCTCCCTGATGTATTGATTCTGACCCTTCTAACCTTTAAGTGGCACCAGCTCATGGAATCTCCTTTCTGAATGCCCAGCAGGCTGTTGCTGAAGGGGAGCAGCTGTCATGGCTCTCAGAGAAGAGACTCATGTTGCAGAGCCTGGAATGTCTGCAGCGAGCAATTGCAAAGCTGGAAGATGAAAAGGTGGAGCTCAAGCAACAAAACACTGAACTCAGGAGGACTCTTGAGCAGGTAAAATGGGCTTTCTGTGCCTCCACGGAGCCTCAGGCTCCTCTGGAGCACAGCACGTTTGCCCAGGCAGTGCTTTGCAGTGCCCTGCTTGTTTCCTTGCCTCTCCCTTTCCCTGGGTGCAATTCAGGATCTCAGAGCAGAGATCTTGCATTGATGTCCAGAGGTTCTTTTGCTCCATGTTTGCTGACGGATTTCTGTGGCCCTTTCTCCCATCCAATGTGCAGGTGGAGCACGAACGGAGGAGACTGAAGAGATGTTTTAGGGGTCGGTTACTCCCAGATGCCTCTGGATTTTCTCTCTCTGAGTCTGAGCAGTACAATTTTCCTACTTCTAGACAGGTGAGAACATTTTCCTTAGTGCAAGGAGGCTTTGGTCATACAGAGGAATGATGGGAAATCCCAGTGGCAGCAGCCCTCCAATGGAGACCTGATAGAAGTTGAATATTGCCTGTGCCTGGGACCAAACAGACTGAAAGAACATCCTTTCATTTTCTTCACAGGAGGAGTCTCATGCTCACTGCAGCCAGCGCTTAGCTGAGTTACAGA